ATTAATAAGTCAAAAAAAAATTTATTTTTCAGCTTAATAAGACATAATTCATTGTTACCACAAAACTGCACTTCAACAGTCTTAAACCGTATCAAGAATTAATTAACAGAAGTTAATTGACTGACTTGTTGAAATAGTGAAACTAATAATTAATTGATCAAAAATTTAGTCTAGTTTGATTGTCTAGTTTGATTTTTTTTTTTAATTAACCTCTGAATTATTTAAGCAAAACAAAAAGTGCAAAAAAAAAAAGAGTTTTTTTTTTTTGATTTGATGCAGCAGTCACCTTTAATTAAGCCTCACTGCACTGTACTTGAAATTTACAGCTTATGAAGTCTGTAATTTAATTATCAAAATCTGCTTGGATGCTTTAGAGGTTTATCAATTCCGGAACATATTCCACCTACTCAAGCCTATTTCAATGCGGTTGCATAATTGTTTACATTCAAACTGTTATTTGATTTGGAATTGCAGGTGAGCTAGTTATCTAGTATTTTACGAGACTTTCAAAATTGTTAGATGAACATATCCAAGAATTTTCTGCTGAAAAAGGTTGAGAAAACCTTGAAGAAAAAAGACGTTTTGTAGAAGAATAAAAGTTTCCTGTTCTCACCAAGTTTGTTCCACTGTTTTACAATGGTTTCTTTTTAGCAGAAAAAAACCCCACATTCTTTATACTTGTGAACATAGCAGCTTTACTGCTATTGTCTAGGTTGATTTTCTTTCAATTAAAATGGTAACGTGGAAAGTGTTTGCAATAATTATCTCTAAATTAAACATTGCTTTATCGTTTAAAATTATTTTCGTTACAAGTATACAATAATTAAGAGACTTTTTCTTTGCAATTTGTTTATCAAAATGCATAGCAGATTTTTGATGTTTTCTTCTTTAATACGTCGAAGAACAGATTTTTTTGCTGACAGTCAGTAACAAAGATTGTTATTTGTTTATTACATATACTAATAATAGTAAAAAACATTATTGAAAATAATAATAATAAATTATGCAATTAGGCTTTTATCAAAAACGCCGATGTCAAACTGAAGATAGAAAAGTTAACAAAGTAAGACCGAAAATGTAGTTCAAGGTGCAGGCTAAGTAAGTAGAAGTTGTTTTGTTTTATATGGCAAAATGAATGTTGTAAAAGATTCATTCATTTATGAAACAAATTATGTGATAATTCCTGTCTATTTTGCACACTTTCTTCAGCTAATAATTATGATCCTTTATATCTTGATTTAGGTTCAACACCTACTGTTATATACTAAGCTGATTCAGAACACGGAAACGTTATAATACATTAATTCAGCACTTTACCTATGTAAGACATTGCTTCAGCTCAAATTTTCATGCTAAAGCGCAGTTTATGCATGAGAGCGTATATTTAGAAAAAAAAATGTGCCATTTGTGACGTAGATAAATCCTTCTAAAGAAACAGAAAGCTAGAAGAAATAAATAAATTAAAAGCAGAAGAATTATTAAACAGCTTCAAAGTTATTATACACGATTAAGACTAGTTTTTTCAGTTGAGCAGATATTTCTGTCCTGTTTTCCTCAATTCTCCTTCTTGCTATACTGTTCACTTAAAAGCCATCTACAGCATAAGAAGAAATCAACGGAGAAGAAAATGAAATGAAATTAAAGTGAGAAGGAATAACAGGAAAGCTGTGGTTAGTAGTTGCTGTAATCACAGACAACAATATGCTGAAGTTGGCCATACAGCATTCACCTGCGGTGAACATCAGACAAAAAATATGAACATCAGACGAAAAATATCTTTCTACTAATTTCAACTCAAAATTGAAAGCATCAGTCGTTAATGAAAAAATATTATGCCTAGTATTTTGTTTTGCTAGCATTTTTTTTACTCTGCCTTTTTATCATTTATATTGAAAATAAACTTTTTGAAGCTTATTTCAACTTTTTTTGCTTTGTCTATTACTTTACACCTCGCAGCAACTTGTATCATAAACCGCAAAAAAAGCGCATAAAACGTCGCCGTCTAACTTGTCTTTGATCTAGTCTATTTTCCTAAGCTAGTAATGTATTAAGCAGGTCAGCCAATCTTCGCTTACCAATCTATGTTTAACAGTACTGTTGTTTGTCCATAAAAAAGTGAGAATGCTTAATTTGTAGACTACAGACGTGGCTTGCACATTTGCATTTTTCATGGCTAGTTTTCTAATGTAGAACCGAAAAAAAGATACAGTTTTAAATACTGAAAAGTTTTTATTACACCTTCTACCGTGTTGCTCTTTCCCGTTTCCCCACTTTTATCGTTTTTTTTACACCTCTCTTATTTACCCACCGGTAGTAGGCGCTATAAATTCATGTTTATAATGGACAAACAAAGGGTAGAAACTTGTCACTTGCTAGGAATTTGAACTTTACAGGCTGTTCAAAGATAGCTGTTGTACAGGACAAAAACTGAAAATCTGCTATTAGGCAACTGCGCCAAAAGTGTGGTACACTGACCAATTTACTACATTTAAACGTAGACTTAAATCTTGCTTATTTAATTACTTCTACTGTCACTAAATAAAATTTGATATTTGTCTACTAAACACAGTTGCAGTTAAATTTTTTGTCTAATTTGTTTCTGTTGTTTAGCGTTTAACGATAAACAAAAAAAAAGTTTTTCAAATTTACTACAGCAAAAATTAAATATACCAGTAGTATTTGCAAAAATTTAAAAGCATAAAAGTTTGTTGCTAATTGTGCAAAATAGCAGACACATTTATGATGTCTGATAAATGTATTGCCAACGAATTTAGAGTGAAGAAAGTAAAGAAAGATGAAGAAAACATATGTATTTAAATACCAATACTATTTTACAATTTACAGTACCCATAATAATTTTAAAAAAGAGAGAAAAAAAA